CAGGTAAAAACTCGTAGTTTTGCATGTAATTTTAGTGAACTGAAATATTTGCTATCTGCAAGTTTTAACTCACTTATTGGTTGTGTTTTAAAGAAACACAAAATCAAACTTTGTGTTACTTACCGGTTAAACTAACTATACTTTGAACAATTGGCCCAGGTGTTTGTGCTGCAATACCTACTATCCAGATTGTGTACTGGTCAACTTTTTCTAGTACTGTTTTATTGTACCCGGTATGTAAAGTTTATTTATTTATAACAAGGTAAGGGCTCTTCAGCTTTGGTCCACCTCCTCATGACTAGATAAAAGTCTTTAACCAATGGCTATGTCAGGACTTAGCTATGTATTGTTTGACTTTGTCAATGAGGACAATGCCTAGTTCTTTGGCCTCTATCCATTTACTCTTTTCAACACTAGTGAGGCCTCTTAGCTTCTCCATGTATTGTAGCACTCCTTTTAAAAACCTGTTAAATAGAAAAAAAATCTCAACAAAGAATTATCACTAAAAAGACTTTGTAATTTTATAGAAAAAAAAGCATGTACAATGTATATGAAAATTGACATACCAGGTAAACGTAATTAATTTCTATTATTAACATTACCTTTTTTTGGTATGTTTTCATAAGTTTGAACACAACTTCAATTTAAATATTCAGTATGCCAAATATTGTTGTTTTTTGGTGAATAATGTCATATCTGGTCTATTTATCTTTTGACTCCATGTCTGACCAGATTATCTACTGAATTGATATGTGATTTGTTTTCTATCTCATCTGTTGATCCAATGACCTATTTATCTTTGACTCAATATTTGTGTATCTATTTACTTTTTTTTCAATCTTATGACTTGACATCCTACTTGAAGTGTTTTAAACAGACGCTCCTTACCTGACTCGGAGTCTGCTGTCCTGATTGGTAACTGTCACATCCAGGGTGTATAGCTGCCACAGGGCCACAAACACCACAAAATGTACCGACATGTGGATACAAGGACAACTGGAAAACAAATACTCAAATACACAAGGGTGTCCACGGATATCAAATTTACTATCAAATACAACTAATTACCACATTACATTAAACATTTTCTTTCCAAACTTCTTTTCGATTTCAAAAGTTCACACAATCCATGCTAAATTTGAATTATTATTCATTCAGTCAAACTTTATTTTTTGACATGCAACTTGCAAGTTTTGACTATTAAGTGAAAAGATAATGTACTTTTACAATAATAGAGCACACCTGCAAGAAGCATTTTTTGAAGCATATTAAATAAATGTATATATATTTATGCTAAGATAACCAAAATGTCATTGGTGTTATTTTATTTTGGATCCAGAATAGCCTTATTTTATTGGCATTCGACTTTTGAAATGTACCTTGTAGTTTTCTGGGGTAAGTGTTGTTTTTTGCCCTATTAGGGGTAGGTATTTAACACATGTTACAACAGACGTCATTAAGGGCTAGTACCTGTTGATGAGTTTTCTCAGACTGTCTTCCTGTCTGGGCCGGAGTTTGCCCGCCCCCCACATTGTCTGTCGCTCACTCAATGCCTGCTCCACCTGGGTGACTACTGACAAACACTCTCCCAGGATCCTCTGTATCAGACCAACGATCTCACTCTGTCTTCCACACTCCACTCCAGCACTGGCTTTACTGGGTGGTGCTTCATCCATGGTTGGAGTTCTTTCATCACCTGTGGGTGT